AACTCACAGAGATCCACCTGCCTCTGCCTCCCGAGTGCTGGGATTAAAGGCATGTGCCACCACCGCCCAGCCTTCTTTGTTTTAATTGAGAGATTTTCTATTCATTTCACATATCAACCACAGATCCCCCTGTTCTTCCTCCTCCCACCCCCAGCCTTCCCCTCCAACCCCATTCCCACCTCCTCCAAAGCAAGGTCTCCCATGGAGAGTCAGCAGAGCCTGGTACATTCAATTGAGGCAGGCCAAGCCCCTCCTCCCTGCACCAAGGCTGTGCAAAGTGTCCCATCATAGGCACTAGGTTCCAAAAACCCACTCATGCACTAGGGACAGTTCCCAGTCCCACTGTCTGGGGGCCCCCTAAACAGTTCAAGCTAAACAGCTGTTTCACTTATCCAGGGGGCCCAGTCCAGTACCATGGGGGCTCCTCAGTTATTGGTCCACAGTTCATGTGTTCCCACTAGTTTGGCTAGATATCTCTGTACTTTTTCCAGTCATGGTCTTGATATCTCTTGCTCATATAATCCCTTCTCTCTCTCTCTCTCTCTCTCTCTCTCTCTCTCTCTCTCTCTCTCTCTCTCTCTTGTTGATTGGACTCCTGGAGCTCTTTTTTTTTCCTGTGTTTTTATTGTTTGACAGCTTTATAAATTTTAGTAATTTTCACTCCCAGACACCTCCCTTCTCTCCCTCCCTGTTCCATAGCCTTTACCTGCAGGGATTCTTGATCTAGCCCAGAACTTTGGCTTAAACCTTTACTTAATTCTTTCCCTCAACTTAACAGGGCTTTCAGGGTAGGAGCAAGAGAGAACTTAGTGCTGTTGAAGATAGAATGTTCCTGCCTGGTTGCCTGGAGACTAGATATTCTTTAGCCAGAGATTTCAGGACACCCTGGTGGGTGGTTCAGACTGGGGCTCATTCCTACGGCCTGCGTGTAGGTGTCTTTGAAAATTACATGAGCAAAGGCAGAGGTCAGCAATCTCCTTGGCTGTCTGAAGAAATAAACAACGCTGCTACGGTGGGGTGGGGGGGTGGGCGGCGTGTCTCGATCCAGGAGAAACATGGAGAGAAGAGGGACAGGAAGAATGAAAAGAAGCAGCGGGGACAAAAAAAAAAAAAAAAACCACACACACACACACACACAGGAGGAAGAATGAGTCACAATACACTTGAGAGTGACATCTTTGTCACGGCTTTGCCTCTGTCTGGTTTTGAATGTCCAGGCAGCCACTCTCTAAACCAAACTTTTAATCAGCTACAGATGCTTGTTTCTCAGGCTTGTGCGAGGTCCTGGAGGTGAGGGAAGGGGCGGGGGTTAGTTCTGGATTCCTCAAGAAAGTCTGACTTCCACTACACATGAGTTTAAAGCAGCCCTGGAGTAGACCGGGTGCTTTCTTGAGCTCTTCTGTCCAGGGTTCTTTTCTCAGTAGAGAGTACAGGCTCTGAGTCTAGTGTTCACCCACTTTTGACTCAGAATTTGTTCCGATTAGCCTAAGGGAGATGTGAAAAGACATCTCAAGGCCAACATACCAGTAAGTATGTTTCCTCTAGACCTGTAGCTCTGCTAAGTCACAGATTTCTGTTTTTTCTGACCCACTTTCTTATGGGCCTGGAAGCATGTTCCTCATATTTGGGAAATCTATTTTACATTGACTTCGTGTATTTGCTACATTTTATATTGACTGGTTTTGCTGGATGTTAAATGTATTTGTGTCTAGACTTGTGGGACTTTAGCTACAGCCAATTTCTACATTATTAAGAGGGTTATTTTGAGGGGCCCCTGTGAATAAACCTAATTTTCCCTTCTGATTAGTGCTTAATTTGAAATTGTTTGTGTAGCGATGAAATCTTTCTTGAATCTCGCCTCCACGTTCCAGTTTCCATCCCCAGAGTTTGCTTTTGATTACATAAATGCATTCAGGTGATTATATGGGCAAGACTGTGCATTAGGTAGTTCGGGGCTTTTTGTAAGAAATTTTGTTGTGCAGACCGAACTGCTGAGTTAGATTTTGAGTTTTGGGGGGGGGGTTTCACAACTAAATTGTCATTCTTTCTACTTAAAGCAAAAACATAGTGTGCACCAATAACCTTTAGAAGTTTGTCTTCCAGATTTAATGACTCATTTCTCTTTGAAGATCTACACTGAGGGATGATTTTGTTCCCTTTAGAAACCCACAGCAGGCTTTTCAGAATATGATTTTCCCAGTCTCCAGCATCTCTAAGTTTTTATAATAAATGTGTGTGTATGCAGTCAAGATATTTATTACTATCTTCAAAATATAACCTGAAAATTAAAATGCATGACTTCCCTATGAGTGATGCTGTTGCTACATGTCTTTAAATACACACCACTCACTGACCCTGGGCCAAGGCTCTATGGTCAACACTCACAGGCTCACAGCTGGAGAGGTTTTCCTAGAGCATGAATCTCTACTTCAGTAGTGCTCACACCTGAGTTTGATGATATGGAGGTTTGGGGTTTAGTGGTGATGTTCAAATGAGTTAAATTTTGGAGGATGTTAGGATGGGCAGGAAGCAGAGAACATATAAACTGCATCTCTTTCAAATTAACGTGTGGAATTCTTCATCCTAAAGACTTCAGACTCTGAACTTATTTGGAAGTAGTCTTAACAGAAATAATAAAGCAAAAAAAATAAGTTATTAGAATTGGTTCTGATTGAATATGGCAGGTTTTTTTATGACAAGGAAGGATTTTGATACATAACCACTCACAGTGAGAAGAATATTTAGAGATACATAGAGAATAGCATGTGGACATGTGCTGGGAACAGAGGGCTAAAAGGACAAGTTTATGTTTAGACAACATGGTGCTGATATGAATATCTGGCACAAGCCAAGACAGCTAATACAGGACCCTGGAGAATTAGGAGTCAGCCCCAAATGGCTGTTACCAGATGTCTGGGGACCCCAGAAGTAAACAGTGACGTAATTTGTTATGTAATTATTTTTCACAGAGTGACACTTTTGTGTAAATATGACTTTGAAATCAGAGGCCCAAACCTTTGATTTTACCAGCATGCATGTGCCTGTCTGCAGGCCTGTTTGGTGCTCTATGTGTGGGCCTGTTTTCTCTCCTGTGTGTGGCCTGTGCATGCTGGGTTTCTGCCAGTAACGCCTAATGGCCTTATCTCAGAGTGAATGAAGCATATCACATCTGCCAATGGCTTCTGAAATTTTCTTCAACTTCCTGGCCTCCTGTGAAGCTTTTCTGCCACCTGAGCTTGGATGCTACAACGTAAAGGCAGGCAAGTACTATCTGATGAGAAAAGCCTAGAGGATATTCTTCTTGGAGCCCTGCAAAGGAACTAACCCCCTCCATGGCCTGACTTCAGACTTCTAGTCTTCAGAAGTACAAGGCAATTCACTCTCCTCTTAAACTACGTAGTTTATGGAAGCAATCATAAGAAACTGTTAGAGAAAGCCAGGTCTCAACACAGTCAGTTTGGAGCATGAGATGGAAAAGAGCCTAGAAGTGTTGAGTTCCTATCACTATTCACCTTTGACTAAATGCATACCTCCAGGCCAGTATCCTTTTTCTGGTTTCTGTTGTGTTTTTTAAATCATCTTCAGTTTTGGTAATTCCTCTATCTATAAATCTTAAAGTCCAATACCAATGTCTACAAACAGTTATTAGTGTTGTCTTATCTCTCCAGTGACATCCTGGAAGTTTTAACATTTTTACTTTGTTGTGAGTTATCCACCAGAGAAGGTCAATTAGGCAAAGGTTCAAGCCAATAGGAAGTCTTCATTAGTCAGTCAGTGACTACTTTGGCTGTTTGGGACACCAGGGTAGCCCTGAGCCATTATTGTGATGAGCTTTTAAGTATACACACAGACACACACACAGACACATACACACACACACACACACACAGACACAGACACACACACACACACACACACACACACACACACACACACACACCAAACAAAGCCAAAACAAAAAACACAAAAACACACACATCCTGGATTGACAAGCTAGCAAGAATAAGTTAGCCAGAAGTAGAACTACAGAAGCCAAAAAGCATGGTTAGTACATTTAGGCACTTTCCCAGAACTACGGACTTTGATGGATTAGGTCTTTGTTGCTGTTTTGGCAGATGTTGTTGCCTACTGGCTGTGTTTCAGAGCCTGAATGGCACATCCATCATGGCATCGCTTGTGCTAAGGTCTAGAAGACCTACTAAGGTTTGGGGGCCTGTTATAACTTCCAGTAGTGTGAGCTAATATTTACTGATCAGCTGTCTTTTTCCTGGATGTGTTTCACAAGATATTAAGTTTGGAAAGGAGGACAGTGAAACAGGAGGGTTATATTTGAGTAAGCTCATGGAATTAGTGGTGGGGGTGATAGTGATGGGTACTCCATAACCATAACCATGTCCTTACTAAGAGAATCAAATTGTGAAGGATCAAGAAAATGGAGCAAAGGGGGACCTAAGTAGGGAGGTTATGGGGACCTTCACTGCTATAAATGGGAAGGCCACCTTAAAAACAGTTCCAATTGCTTAAAGGCTTTCCAGCTTTTCCTGCTGAAGCCTTTTCCATTTGCAAGACCTAACATGAGTAGGAGCCTACACATCAGTTGAGCTCCAGCCACTGATAGACCAAAAACAGACACTGTCCCAGCTCAAAGGACCATTCTTTTGTAACCAATTAAATTCATTGCACTTGATTGTTTGATTCCTGCCAAGAAACAATTTAAAATCCCCATTTCCAAACATTTGTTTTATAATGTCCAAGACCACTAAAATGACCTCCTGAGGACCTAGAGTTTTAAAAGATCCTTCCAGTGCTGCCAAGGCATACTATGCCAATAAAATAACAAATAAACACAGAAGACCACTCAGATTTTAATGCTATCCATGCAAAATATACATACTTCCTTCAGTGTTAGTTCAATGGATAGATGCTGTCATGGACTTCCTTTCTAGACTATGATTATTCCTCCATCATGTCTTTGGTGTGTGTATTTTAACTAGCTAACACTCTGAATCGTTACAACGGACGAGGTATTGCCTATTTTATGGCTGGGAATGAGAATTAAGTGGACCAGTGGATATGCTGCATCTGGGCCATGGCTGAGATCAGCAACTTTTCCTTCTGTTTTACCTCTTCCTCCTCTTGCTTCCCAGAAGCCTTTGTGCCCTTCTATATTTCAAAGTTAGTCTATTGTTGTGTAATTTTGGGAGCAGAAAATGAAGACTAGACAGGTAATGAGACTTTTGGACTCCATATATTCAAGGGTAGGTTTGTGCTTAGGAACTTTTAGAAAAGTTTTTCCTCATTTTAATCAGAGAGAAGACAAAGACAGGCATCCTCACGATCTTCACAAATACAACTCTGTGTGTGTGTGTGTGTGTGTGTGTGTGTGTGTGTGTGTTATAGGTGAGAATTAAAATTGATTTTGTGTGTGGTGCATGCATGTATGTACATCACAAGTAGGCTAGACTGCATGTCCAGCAAGTCCCAGCTAGTCCATGACCCCCTTGTATTAGGACTATAAGCACTCCTACTCTGTCAGATTTTCTACCTTCTGAGGATTGAACTCAGGTCTTTATCTTTGTGGAGCAAGTACTTTACAGACTGAGCTATTATCCCAGCCCATGTTGAAAGGATTTTGAGTCCTTAAAGTCTGAGTTTCTAGTTTCTGGCCCTCCTTCTTCGGTAGAGTCTGGTTTACACCAGGACTTTTTTATTTCTCTGAAACGATCTCAGGGCTATCAAGGATCAAGAGATGCTGTGGAACAAGGCAGATCAGTGTACTGACTTCTTGGCATATTCTTCCTTATATATTTCTGGTCTCTGAGAATTTTTATTAATTTCTTGACACCAAATGAATATAGAAGCATTAAATAAAGTAATTCCTCACATTTCCAGATAAGTCCTATTGACTTCTTCCACATTTATAGAGAAGTCCTACTGGCCTCCACATGTTCAGATCTATATTTGCAGCCTTACAGATTTACTCCAGCAGAGTTCCAGGGGAAGCCCCCGCCTTAGATTATGTGGGTCACTGTAACAAAGTTTGGCACTTAATAGAAACCCGCTTTCTCATATTCTGGAGGTTGGCAGTTTAGGAGGCCAACAACATCTTCTTCAAGTGAAGGTTCTGCCCTAAGGTTGCAAACGACTGGCTTCTTACTATGTCCTCAAATGACTCTGTACATTGGGGTTGGGTGGTAGGGTTGGAGGAGGGAGAGAGAGAGGGAGTCAAGAAGGGGGAGGAGAGAGAAAGAGAGAGGGAAAGAGAGAGAGGGAGAGAGAGATTAAGATTATTATTTCTGGCATTCCTATATAATGGTTTGAATGAGAATAACCCTCCCCATAAGGTCATAGATTTGAATGTCTGGTTACCAGTTAGTAGACTATTTTGGAAGGGTTGGCATTGTCGCCTTGCTAGAAGAGGTGTGTCACTGGGGATGGGCTTTGAGGTTTCAAAAGCTCATGTCACGCCCAGTCTCTCTTTCTATGCCTTCAATGTATGGAATAGTCATAACTCTCAGCTACTGTTCCAGTTCCATTCTTGCCTGCCTGCCTGCTTGCCTGCCATTGTGTTCCCCACCAGGATGATAATGGACTAACCCTCTGAAACTTGAAGCTAGGCTCAAATTAAATACTATCTTTTCTAAGTTGCCTTGTTCATGGTCTATCTTCACAGCAATAAAAATGTAAGCCCGGTGGTGGTGGTGGTG